ATTCTATCCTAATCATAATGTAAATAGATAGCGTATTGCATTTGTAAGTGATCGCCAGACTTCTAAATTATGAAGGACATATTCACACAAAATGTTATTTATATTTTTGAGACGGTTATTCATAGGTATGATATGATGCGATAGGTGATGCCTCAAGCTATTATCAACCGACTTCAAAAAAAACCGGTCAAGTGCGATTCGGACTCGCGCACCGAGGGTTCCGAAGAAATCCGTAGGTATGTAAGTTTAAAATTATTAAAAATATTTTTATTATATGATGTAACTAAAAATTTATGCTTTTTGCAATTTTTCCTTTATCTGTGCTATAATACGTTGCTTCGTACCAAATTTTAATATTCTGTGTTCACGGAAAGTACCCTGTAGGTTTTGATTCCCTTGCGAATGTCGAAAATTTGCAGCATAAACGGCTGTATCTTTTGATTGCGTTGTCTTAGAAGTTTGATTTTTTCACAGCTCCAAGGGACAGTCAATTTAAGTATTCAGCTTGATAACTCCACGCGTTCCTGAGAAAAAGGGTCTTGACAGACAGACACACAGACGGACAACAAAGGGATCCTATAAGGGTTCCATTTTTCCTTTTGAGGTACGGAACCCTAAAAAGGAGGAGGTTCTCAATTCAACTGTATTTTTTATGTATGTTTCATTGTGCTGAATTAGCACCGTACGTGTACCTATAATTTACAATTACAAACGTGTGCTGCGAAGAGATTTCGCATTCTTTTGCATTTTCTTTCGCAATTTCCACAGAAAATGCTCTGACGAATTATTCGGATTAATACCAACCGTCAACTTCGACCCCGACGAAAACCGTATTGGCAGTCACTAATCAGCTGGTGATCCTTAAGGTACCGCATGAGCTGGCATTTAATAATGGATTCCATTATTTTGGAGAACAAGGAGGTTATGGCGATAGGCCTGTAGTTGGACGGGTCTGAGCGGTCGCCTTTTTTAGGGATCGGGTGGACAAAAGCTGTCTTCCATGAAATCGGGACTACGCCTTGAGAGTAGGAGTACCGGAAAAGACGCGTTAGAACCGGTGCCAACTCCGGAGCACACGTCCTCAGCACAATTGGGGGGATTCCATCAGGCCCACTGGACTTCTAGATGTCCAGGGGGAGGAGTGCTTTGCGAACCGAGCGCTGTGAGAATACATCCGGCATGGAGCACTCACACCGCGGGATGGTCGGCGGTGTCATCAAGAGTCGAGTTGATCGCAAAAAGGGTGCCTAAAAGGTCGGCTTTGTCTTTTGCGGCTTGGGCTAGTGAGTCATCCTCCCTGTGCAGAGATGGTAGTGATGGCTTACAGAAATTCCTTTGGACAGCCTTGGCGAGACACCTAAATGCACGGGTTCCCGAAGGAAGGCGAACTAGTTTCTCGCCAATTCTGTCTATGTGCTCCGACTTTGCCTTGGCAGTAACTCTTTTGAAGGACCTGGAGGCGAAGTTATACTTCTTTTAAGTGTACTGGTGTTTACATCTTGAGTCGCCGAAGCCGCAGCCCAAGCTTGATAACACTCCTGCTTACTGCGTAATACAGTCTTACAGGAGCGACCAAACCAAGGCTGAGATCTACCTCCGATGGGTACCACAAATGATGGAATAAATAGTTCCATTCCCTGTAGCACCACATCAGTGACAGAGTCAGCAACAGCGCTGGAATCATTCAGCGAGAAGCAAACCCGCCCTCATGGGTAGGATGCAAAGAAATTCCGCATTCTGTCCCAATCCGCCGACCTGTAATGCCAAACACGGCGGCAACCTGCAGAACGCAACCGCGAAGGAAACGTGAGTGGCACCACACTCCGGATCAGACAATGGTCCGAAGAGCCAAGAGGGACATTGACGGAAACCTGATATCTGTCCGGATGAGAGGTCAGCAGAAGGTCCAAGAGGGAAGGTGTATGATCCTCCACATCTGGAATCCGCGTAGGCGAAGTAACCAGTTGTGTCAGACCATATGCCAAGGCAAAGTCATAAACAGATCTCCCCGCATGATCGGTTAAACGTGAACCGAGCCATTCAGCGTGGTGGGCGTTAAAATCACCAAGGATCACGATCTTTGCGGATGGGACCTCTTGTAGCAAGGAATCTGTAGCCATTTGAACGTGGTCGATGAGTCGGTCTGTTTCGGCATTACCGCTATGGGACCTATAGAGGCACCCGTAGACGCGCGGATGGTCGTCGCTGTCTACGCGTAGCCGAGGGATGGACAGGTCCGAACCTTCAAGACTGCCGAGGCGTCGAAAACAGATGTCCTCTCTGACATACACGCTAACTCCAGCCCAAGGCACAAAGGAGTGCTCCAATTTGTACCCCGGGTAGGAGAGATACGAAGTATCAGCCGGAGAGGACACCTGCGTCTCGGTCAGAAAGAGCAAGGCCGGCTTTGCCGTCTAGAGATTTGTTCAGTTTGCCCCGAGCAGTTATGTTTTTGAGCGGAATTTGCCCCCCCCCCCCCCACCCCCACCCCCCAGAATTCGTGGGGCAGCCTGAGAACCCACGCCCAGGAGTGGAATAACATGGTCGTGGATGCTCAGCGTGGGATTCTCCAGGGGTGCTGGTACCCTCCTGGGGTAGGCTTTGGTGTGATTCCGCTACCATGTTCATGGGCGGGGGGAATTGGGCCTCCGGCCACCCGCACTCTCAAAGACGAAACGCAGAAGCAGTGCTTCTACTTCACGCCGGTATTCTGTAAGGTCGTGGTATCAACCCGGCCCGAGCCGGCCCATATGTGCAACAGCAAAAACTGCCACGTGGCTCTACCACCGTTGACGTTGACGTTGATTTCTGGGACATTATGTATATCTTCAATAGACAATTGCCTACAAAATTGTACTAGCTTCTCCTTCTACCCTACTCTGCTTGAGCTGAATTTGTATACTTAGTGCTGAAAGTCAACGGCGTTACTTCGCCGACTTAGAAATGGCTCTCTTGCAGTCGTTGAGACAGCTTCCTTTAATAGCAGCTACCCATGATTTCCCCCCACTAGATGGAGCGATGACTTGGTAAGATATGCAGGAGTCGATGGATGCACGTGGTTCAGGACCGCGCTTTGTGGCATTTTTTGGGGGAGGCCTATGTTCATCAGTGGACTTGTGGGGGGGCTGTAATGATTATAATGATGACTCTGATTTCGTCACTAATATCTCCGATTGATTTAATTATATAACTCGTTCTTCAGATCAAGTAGTACGTCATGGTCAGCTTCCTGCTTCGAGTTTTTTGCCCTTGACTTGACCTTGCTTGTTAAAAACTTGTCCTTGGCCATGGCCCTGCCATATGACATCTTTGCAATTTCACGAGAATAGGTAAAGCCTAATTAAAAATGCGAAAAATTTGTTGATCACCAATATAGGTATCAAAAAAATTACTTATAATTTTTTATAGCATCAAGCTATTATTTTACTACATATTTTATCATTAATCTATATCCTATGTAGTACATCTGGAAAAAAATCATCATACACTCCACAAAAATAAAAAGATTAATGCATCCAAATCAGACTTTACTCCCTTGATATTTGCACCTACTGAGTATGATAAAGTTTCTCTTATCAATATTATTATTTTTATTTTGTGTGACGTTCAGTACCAATGCATATAGATGCTTAAAAGGCAATAATTACCGAGCGACATTTTAGGCGATATTGAATTATATAGATCGTCAAAACGAGTAAAAGATTCTGCGTCGATACGAGTATGACATACTCTCATACCGCTAGGAAAAGTTTTGATGTCGCTTCTTAATTCAAAACAAATCCCATTTTCACAGTTTTTTAATATCAAGCAATAAGCGGTTGTCTGATCTAGTATTTCTTGGTCTGTTTCGATTTCAACTCTCACATCGATCGAACCTTTTAAAGTTTCGTGTTGTCTTGAACAATCAATTACAAATAATGGAGCCACGTCTCTGAACTCCTTTAAACCCATCAACGGCTCTGACCGACGTCCATGATACGACTGTTGAAATCTCGCATACTGATCGTATAATAACGTAAACTTATCTTCTGAAAAACTGACATTCAGCCCCTCATAAGGATAATATGATGAATTTAAAAAGACTCTTACATCTCGTACGTAACAATGATCAAACTCTGCCATTGATAATTTCGCGTTATGTTTGCGGTTGGTTTGCAATGCAATGACCACAAATCGTGGTTTCTCTATTTGCGATGAAGTTTTTATAGACCAAGTATGTTTACGTGTTTTGGGTAGCAATGGATATTCATATAAGTCCCAGGAACGGAATGCCAATGGAATAGGTCTATCTTTCTCTAAAAGTTTTAATAGGCGGATTCTTTCACGATCTGATACTTTGATGTGTGGAACTTGCCAAACTATTTTATTTATTATAATATCTTCTACAACTTCACCTGTATTTAACTTGATCGCATTAAGATTTGTATTGCTTCGTAATAATACTAACTCATGTTTACAATTAATTATAATTTTTTCATAATCTTCTGCAAATCCTAATATCTTGTTCTATGGAATAGATGCGGAAAACGCCCCACCACTAGTATTGCTTGTTCCGCAGTTGACCAGCCCCAAACTCAGTTTTCAACTGAGACTGTATTTTTTTATCCCCTTCTTAAATGCTTTTATACCGTTCCCCGCCTGGATTTTCGCTTTCATCGCAATTTTTGACTATCCATGAGGCAATTTTTTTCTCCTTTTCTTCTGACTTCAACCTCCTCTTAGCCATTTTCAAAAGTTCTAAATCCACTTTTTGTCGAGCGCCTGAATATTTGTTAGTGTAAGCAATATCATGGAGCATGCACGCTTCATCCAATCTGTTTATCCCACGATCGCCTTTGAGTAACCGTTTTTGAAGTTTAGTTCCGGGGCCGCAAAATTGATAGCCGGGTAAATGTAACTCAAACGGTAAATTGTCTATTACTTTATTAATTATACCACTGCCTTCCTTCATCGATAAGTATAAAATGACATTATTAAATAATAATACGTTATTTATATACCTAAACCACTAACTCACTTTTATCCACCCAACTATTTTCTTCATCACTCAAACCTACCCATTTTACTAAAAGCTTATTTCCTTTTCTTTTAATGACTTTTTCAATAAGATAAAGGTCTGTGTACACGCCCCTAGCTGTCCCTACATAGGTAGATCATACAGGGGCCCATAGCTGTAAACTCGAATAATAACTAAGGACGGGGCCGCGGGTTCCAGCCTGATGGAAATGTTCTATACTACTACACTTTAAGGGGAAGGCTAGTGGAAAAGAGAGTACTCACCTGTATCTGAGGCGACGACTGTCTCGGGGCTCGGTCAGGCCGGAGGTGTGTATGTGTTGAGTGTAGTGGTGTTTTTGTGGTGTGGGTTGTGATAGACCTGACTGGACCTTTGAAGTCCGCAGCAGCCCGCAATTCGGCACCGCTCCAAATGTGGTAATCTCCAGCGGCGTCACCCACGGTCACTTTCATTCTTCTTCACGATGTCAGTCTATTAACTTTATCGTACAATTACTAACTTCCAGACGCAACTAACTCCCGTTTATTATAAAGCGTAACACACAACACGAATACCGAATGTTCGGATCAAAGGTCACTTCCGTTTCGCGTGGCAACAATTATTTGTAGAACCTAACACGACCTTCTGTAGTGTCATAAAGTTTAGCGTTCAACCGACTACGGAAAATGTCTCCGAACTATATCACATGCCGCACGAGCAAATTAATATTGTCAAATGCACTTATATACGCTATCAAATTAGAATAACCAAATTCGCGGTAAATTAAGCGCGCACAACCCACAAATTCAGACGTTGATCGCAATCAATGTTAACTTCCTAACAATTTGTCTACCCGGCGTCTAATTCTAGACTACAATTCCTCGTCGTTGCACCATTTACTAACAAAACCGACTCTAAAATGGAGGTTATACCGAGCGACTTCACGACGTGCTCTCGACAGCACTGCTTTCAAGCAACTGATTTTCTGCACTAGCGCCCTCTACTAAAGCCACTCTGCTCGCCCGAATGTCACCACCGGTATGGCAACGAGCCGAGCGCCCTCCGGTGTCAAATCCCGAAACCAGCGTTTGGGCGTGAACAGTCTGGAAATTTAGTTTTTTGTAATTCGTAACCGTAAAAAGAGCCTAGAATTTTTTGATTGTGTTTGTCTTCTATTTGATAGGTTTGAGGATTGGTTTGGTTGACTTTAACGATACGAAATATTTCTGTAGACCAATTAGGGGTATAACCTTTGTAAAAATCTCCTTTGTATTTGCTTATACGAACGTAATCGCCAGCGTGAAACGCTGGTCCTTGACGTATATCAGGCTTTTGAGACTTCTTGATGTTTGACATAACTAAAATCGCATTTGAATCATTAACGTTGATAGGCTTGAATTTTGTAATGCGATGTAAAGTATTATTATACCGCTTTATAACAAAATCTAAATTATTTTTGAACCATTGATATCGTCCGCATAGACTGAATATTTTGTAAAGGTGAGTTTTTAAAGTTCTTATTACTCGTTCTACAATGGAGGCCTTTTTTAACGGAGTATGTGGAATAATGATTTATGTTATAATTTTTCATTAAATTCTTAAAAGAATCATTATAAAACTCTGTACCAAGATGTGTTTGTAAATTTTTAGGTTTTCGTCTTGATTCGGATAATAAACTTTGCATCGCATTCGTGACACAATTTTTATGTTTCGTTTTCAATGGTCTAACCCATACGTATTTTGATAGAGCATCGATTACTACTAGAACATATTTATATCTTTTATTAAACGTGGAATATTGTTGAAAATCAATCAGGTCAGCTTGCCATAAATCATCTATTCCTTTAATAATCGTATGTTGACGAGAAAAATTTCTTCTTGCTGCTTTATGAAGCTCATTTACTATATCTTGTTTACTCATTTTGGGCAGCTTTTGATGCAATCATGAGGTCGATTTCCTTTTTAGTGTAATACATTGTCCTGAAATTGATAGTAGTCAATTTTTCTAAATTGTTAAGGTACTTTTTGACATTATCGTGAATTGTTTTCATTTCATTTTTAAGTTCTTGAACACATTTATCCACATTCACGGCCTCATCCTCTTTTTCAGGAGTTTGCAGTCCTCTTAATCTTGTTGATTTCAAATCAAAATCACCAGCATCTGTTCTTACTAAAGCGTCACTGAGAATATCAGAGCATTCAGATAGTCGTAAACGCTTATGAACATGATGACCGAATTTTTGTATATTCATAGCCGTCTTATCGGCTTCTGTAATGAAATTGTACTGCGTAATCCTCCTGTAGGCAGTTTAATATATTTAATGTCTTTTACGATGCCAGATTCATGCAATTCTTCCACTATTGCATAAAATTCCATAAATTTCATTGTAAACCCCTGTGTTACCAGCTGCCCATGATCCAAGTAGTAATTTTAATCGTTCCACTAACTCGTTTGGATCGTTCTAGTAAATCAAATCAGTATCTTTTTTAACTTCTTTTAAAATATTAACTCCTTCTCCCTTTGGAAGACTTTTTGCACTACTTATATGATTTCTCGAGTGCTTAAACAATGGTTTGATCACTTGCATATATTTAAATCTGTTACGGCCCTCATTTGCCTGACAGAAGTCGACTGTATTAGGGCCCATCAGTAATACACTCGACAAGCAACCAGAGAGTTCGGGCCTAATGGCATATGGATTATTATTAACTAATGGCTGATAAGCAAACACAACTTACCGAGTTCCGGAGGTAGGGTTGACCACAGGGTATCAGTCAGGTGGTAAGTAAGGTGTATGTAAGTAGTGTGCGAAAGTGTGTATAAATGTAACCTGACGTCACCGATGTAATCGGACAGCACATCCACAGGCGCTTCTTTTCTCCAACATGTGCGATCCCTCCAGTGGGCGTTCACCAATTAAAACCTTCGCTTTTATTTCACTATATTAGTTTATCAACTTTATTGTACATATAATTAACTTCAAATTTAACTAAATCAACGTTAATCGAAATTAAAACAAGTGACACGCTGCACAACTTCAGAACGGTCGGTCAAAGTTCAATGTCCCATGTTCACTTAGCACCAAATTAGCATCGAGCACAAACGCGATCTCCGCTCGAGTCACAAAGTTTTAGCGTTCCACTCGACAAAGCAAGAATTACTTCGTACGATATTAAAATGCCACAAAAGCAACTCGCCGACGCAAATTAATGGTAATCGAAGTTAAGTCAATCACTCACACAACAAGAATTATATGAGACAAGCCTCGTTGTAGTCAGAGACCAGACAACGCCATTCAGAGGCGGTTCCGAGTGCAAACTTTAGACCGTCTAAGGGACACCGGCCGCGCCCAACCAACTCACCTCGCCCACGCGTCAGGCGACCGCGCTCGGCCGAGAGACCCGCGCGGGAGAGGGGGCCGACGGTGACCTTTAAATTCCATCAGAAGGACACGCCGAGACGCGTGTCTTGAATGCAAGTTTTTGAAATATTAATATTTGGCCTAAACAAAATCCTTTGTTACTGTTAATCGGTTTGGACGGATCATAATTACGTTTGTGTGCATTAATATGCAAAAGTAACAATTTATAATTTTGTAAGTCTTCCTCTGTCACAATATCTAAATTTGGTAGTTTTTTAAAGAATAACTCTTTTAAGCCTAGAGTTTTTTACAAACTATGATTTCCAATTTTTAAGATGTGATAGACACGAAATGGGCCGAGCATTATTTTCCCATGCTCATTTCTGACACCATAAGGCACATCTTTTAGTAATTCAGATGACATAGTCCATGATAATGAATCATTTGCAATACTTGGTGTTGATTGACGTGATTTAAACGAAATTTCATTCGCGTCATTATCATCCGCAGGAAGCGAGTGAGTAAAGGTTTTGTGGGATGTTATATAAACATTGTTATCTGAGTTTTCTCCATTATTAACAGGATCTTCAAACATATCACTTGAAGAAATCGATGACTCACTTGTGCTGTACTTAGGTTTTTTAATAAGGTTAGCTTGGTCTGTATCTTCGGATCTCTATCTATCGGAAGCTCGCTTCAAGATGTAGCCAATCTTGTGTGTGACTCCTCTAACGTATGGTAGTACAGCAGGCACACGCTCGTCCGTGACTGGCTTCACTTGGTCCCTGTGACGTAGCCGCAGGGCCCGAAACTTATTGTCTTGCAATACTTGCTTGACATGCTGAAGCTCGGCGGCCAATTTTTTCTGTTACAGATCTCTTATGCCCTCTGAAACAAAGATTTTCCCACGGTAGTTAACTATGATATTTTCAGGAGCAGTACGAAGGGCTTTCTCCTCAAAGTCCTCCATGAAAATGGCGGCAACTAAGGGAGATACAGATAAGCCCATCACTAAACCATCTACTTGCTTGTAGAATTCTTCCTTCCACAATAAGTAGCCAGATGGGAGGCAGTGTTTGAGTAATACTGCATATTCTGTAGGCATGTTGTTATCTTCTAGCTTCCTAGTTACATTTGAGATGCAGTCTTCAATAGATAAGCATGTGAATAGTGACTGAACATCGAAACTGACCATAGTTTCATGGTCAGCGAAATGTAGGTCTTTTATCTCACTAACAAAATGGTGTGAATCCTTTGCGTGTGCTCTGGTGTTTCCTCTCAGTGGTGAAAGTATTTTTATGTAATTGTTTAAATATCAGATTTATGAACTAATAATTGCATGCCGAGCGCCAAGCGCCTAGGTATGTTCTACTAGCGCCTAAAAATCAAGATTCTAACGTTTTGTCGCATGAAATCGTATCTAGCAATCATATTAGACATATAAATGATATACTTAAAAAGCACATTGTCAGAAAGATAAATAATTGTTGAACCTATTAATTTTTTTTTAATTGATTAATTGCTATTTTTACATAAAAAGGGATTTTAGTGGCTTATGGTGTAGGTTTATCAAGTCCGTATGGCTTTGTAAACACGATAACTTTTGATCAATTGTCCAACTCAATCTATTTTTAAAACTATTCATCTATCATGTGGGAAACCATTGAATGTAAATGGCAGTTAATTTTGTTTTGTTTAGTTATAATTAATTTTTTTCGGCTGCTAAATGTCGAAATTTTCGATGTTTTCGCAGCCTTGTGTTAGAATTTATTTCAGTAAATAGAGACTGCCAGTGCCTCACTCGCTTAGTTCGGCGTCAACCGCCGTTGTGAGTAGATACTGTATCGGTTGTTTGCAGCGGCTCAAAAAGATCGCTGTACAAATAAATACAAAATATTCGAAAAACAAATTTCATACATACTTGATTATTATAATAATCAGAGATTTTTAGTACAATATTTTAAAAGCACAGAATAAATAATTATTAATAATAAACTTTTTCAAATTGAAGCTTGACATAAAAGTATCGGAAAATTGGAAGTATAATAAGGTTATTAGTAAAAACTTCTGTATGTTTAAACTACTTTAAAAAAAAATCCGTATAATCATGCTATACGTAATTTTTTTAATGCGAAGGCATGCTCAATTGGATTTACCAATAGTTATTTTTATATGCTATGTTTTTTTTTTATTTGACTCACAACCTACATCCTACAACAAAAGCAAATTTAATAACCCTAGCATTTTTTTCTCTATTCACTTCTATGTGGTATGTATATTTACCTCGGAATAATAAATAGAAACCGCCTATCATTTTTCTAAAATACAAAAATTTACATGTTTCTACACGTTTGAAGCATTAGTTTTTGATAAATTACAACAAGATTTACAACATTAGTGTTTTATTATCAACTTGTATACAAGATATATAATGAAAATAGCATAGAAGTTGAAAGTTGTGCCTATTCACCCCACTACTTCGTTTCGCGTAAGTAAATTCAAATTTAAATTTATTTATTTGTGCATACCATTGAGTTATTATGTAGTACGTAAGTACATATTACTTCAATGGTGCATACCGGTAATGAGACAGAAAGGATCATTAAAAAAATGATATTCGCTGCATTCAAGCCTCAAGTATACAAACAGTAAAGTTACAATTAAGTCTTCTACTACATTTCTATATTTAAATTATTTCATTATTTTATTTATATTATAATTATATTAGAATTCAACAATGTTGTAATTATTAATTAGAATAAGTTATAATATACAATAATCGAATATCAAAAACTGATATATTACGCAATATCATTATAATATGGCTACTGATGCGTCGCTTAAATATTCATTAATTGAGTATCTAGGTACCTAGTAACATTTCTCAATTAGAAATGTTTTAATTTTTTTTTAATTTATTAATATTTTTCATTTCATGAAACATAGATGGAACTTTTTGTAGACTAGCTGTTCCCCGCGACTTCATGGATTTTA